AGTTATATAGTGTCTCAGTTTCCTTGTCTGCGGTGGCAGCCGTGTTGCCCACCGTACAGCTTTGTGAGAGGGGATGCGTGTGAAGTGTTTGCCACGTGGTCTTTCGCTGGTATTGCTGGAATTTCTAATGGTATTCTCACAGCAGCCTTAGAAAGAAGGCAAAGAAGGATTCCCCCAAGTGAAACAATAAAATGGGGGTTCAGAGAAGTGCCGCGGTTGTTGTGGATTATACTGCTGCCCACCACCAGATCCTGGGGCCTACTGCTTGACCCCAGGACACCAGCATGCCACAGTTTTAAGTGTTTTTGTTTTGTTTTGTTTTTTTATAAAGATCTTATTTATTTATTTGACAGAGCACAAGCAGAGAGAGGCAGAGGGAAAAGCAGGCTTCCCGCTGAGCAGGGAGCCTGATGCGGGGCACGATCCCAGGAGATCATGACCTGAGCCGAAGGCAGATGCTTAACAGACTGAGCCACCCAGGCGCCCCAGTTTTAAGTTTTTTATGGAACTGTGATAAACATTTAGAAAAGTACACATATTTCTAAGTGGTACATGTGGCTCGCTTTTCACACACTGAACACACTTGTGCAGCCAGCAGCCAGATCAAGAAACAGGACATTAGAGTGCCCCGGGAGTCCCCTTGTGATCTTTCCAGTCACTATCCCTGCAGAGATGACCACTCTCCTGTTTTTATCAGATGTAAATGAAAAGGCAGGTCTTTGAGCCTCAGCCTCTGCATGTGCTGTTCCCTCGCATGGACCTTTGTAACCTGGTAAGCTCTGGAGCTTTTAAAATTCTCTGTGCAGCCTCACCCCTTTCTGACAAAATAAAATTCTCCTCCATTGAGCAGCCTCACCTTACGTGTAGCTCTTACTGCAAGCACTGTACTGAATTGTCACTGCACACACGTCTAGTGACTAGAAGCTCCTTGAGAGTGTGTCCTCCTCTGCCTGGCACAGATTATGGGACTAAATTGAAAACACAGGATTTTCACATTTTCCATATCTGTGTATCTGAATATTGCATATCAGGTCATTTTAATTTCAGTAAATAACATTTAGACGTAGGAAATGGCTGTGAGAATTTTCTAGTGGCAAGACACAGGCTAGCAAGGAGTAAAGGCCCATTTTCCTCAGTATCTAAAATCCGGGGGCTCTAAAAACCAGTAACCCGAGCCGTGTGTCTTCTGTGGAAGCCCCTCTGTCCTGCCGCCGAGCCCCAGTTAGCTGGCATCCTCCCTGCCATTGACAGCCTATTAGAGACATCTCTGGGGGTTAGAGGTAAGTCCAGAAGAATTACACAACAGAGATGCAGTCGCTATTCCTCAGGGCTCCATATTCCTTTCTGTGAAACCTGGCTTCAGTTGATGTAACTGAAGTTTAACTTCTCTTTGAAAAATTACAGATCATTGAATATGAAAAAAAACAAACCCTGGGACAAAATGATACTGGATTCAGTTGTGATGGGACTGCTAACACATTCAGGGTCATGTTCAAAGAACCTATAGAGATCCTGCCCAACGTGTGCTACACAGCATGCGCGACACTCAAAGTAAGTCTTCCAGAATGTTCCAGAGGGTGAACTGGTGGGTTTCCTCTTGCATGTTACAGAGTGGTTTTCCATAGAAGCTGAGAGTCCCTGACAATAAAGCCTTTAGGAAGAGGGGGAAAGAAGGAAGCTGGGAGTTAAAGTACTCCCCACTGCTTTGACAAAGAAGTGCTTCTCAGCACAGCTCTCTTCTGAAAGGTTCTTCACAAGAAGTAGCCCTTTGCTTGAGTAGGAGTTTGAATGTTTGACAGAAGATAAAATAATTATTTTATTAAAACCATTTAACTGTTGTCTAAAAGCTGACTTCTACGTTCAGTATTTTTAATCATTAACTGGCTTTGTAGCAAAAACTTCATTTTTCATGAAATGGTTTAACATAAAGTTTCACATAAGAACTATAATGAAATATAATAGATCGTTAATCTAATTAAAACACCACATTAAATTGAGTGCTTATTAAATGAAAATTACTCATGAACCTTTTGTTCTCATTTAGGGTCCAGATTCCCACTATGGCACAAAAGGATTGAAGAAAGTCGTGCATGAGACACCTACTGCTAGCAAGACTGTTTTTTTCTTTTTCAGTTCCCCTGGCAATAATAATGGCACTTCAATAGAAGATGGACAAATACCAGAAATAATATTTTATACATAATTCAGCATTCTGATACATCTTGGCTAAATAGTACCATACCATCTAGTCTCAAAGGCATAAAAAACTGGCCACAAAAAATAGTTTGTCATGAATATTTAAAGTTTTAAGATAAGAAACATTTTAGTTTCTTAGAGGAGATAAAGAATGTTGATTTAAATCCCTGCATGGTTTAAAAGCAGATTTTCCATTTTCTCATAACCTTAGGGGAAAAGAGAACTGGGCGTTAACTATTTAAAAAGAAAAAAAAAAAACGCAGGTCTTTAAGCTTTATCTTGTATAATTTCATAGATCAGCTGACTCATGGTCTTTCCACAGTTTTATAGAAAGATTCTTGTTTCAGACAGCTGGTTTTGTTGTTGATGTTGTTTTAACTGTTGTGAAGGTTAGATGAGTTGGACTTACAGGCTTATCTATTCTGAAGGTTACATGAGATGAGATGGGTCAGTATTCCTAAAGAATTGCCATTAATTCACATAACTAATTTCAAAGAAAACTGACCTTGTATTTGGAGTTTTGAAGTATCTGGTTGTTAGCATTCAGAATATTGCTAGAAGTAGGCCTAATAAATGCCCAAGAACATTCTCAATGTATTTACAAAAAAGGATATTTTGTAACAGTATATAGTCATGTTACATAGTACAGTTTTAAACTATAAATGGAGTTTGTACAGATTCACAATAATGTGACATAAACGGAGGGTCTAAAGGTAGAGTCTAAGACCGGATTCTTTATCGCTAATCTGCACCGCTGTACTCGTGTGTCTGTACGGGGAACACTCCTGAGAATGCCCGAGATTGAAATGGCGCAGCTGGTGGCCACCGGCCAACCAGCATCAGTTCAACATTGGGGCGATAATCTTACATAACAAGAAACTGACTAAAATACTGACTTTTCTAACAACTACTTTGAAATTTTAAAGATAACCAACAGAATCACTCCTGCGGAAAAGTATACTTTCTGTCACCTACACAGTTCTACCCAAGAAGTAAGATATGTTTCATATTTATGACCTCACTCATGTCACAGGTACAGCTGTATTAGGAGGGCATAGGAAGTATACCTGGTAAACAACATTTGTATACTTTTTTATAAAGCAAAATTTTTATATAAATAACATTCTCTTTTTCCCTCAAAAGTGATTATCTTGTTAAAAAAAAAAGCTTATGTGTAATTAAGTTTAAGATATATCAAATGGTTTTGGAAGATGGTTAAAAATCACAATTCTTTTAAGTAACAACTTAAGAATTGAGGTTTTCTAAATAGTAATTAGGACAAAAATTTTTCATCTAAAATAGCACTTCATTTTATATTTTTAAGAAGGTAGTGAGGTGTGTTGGTGGCAGAGGTCTCAAAATTGCTGAAGAAGGGACATTTTTCTATCTCGTGTCTTACGGATGTAAACCTCAGTTAACTGGAATATCTATGAAATGTGTGTGGTTCTGGTTGACTAGATTAACCAGCAAATACCCTGTAGTAACCGTTATGGAAAGTACTTCTACCTTGTAAAGTATGGTATGCCCTGGGTTAGTAAGTTAATGTTTTTTTGACATTTGAGGCATTTCAAATGCTTTTCAAGTATGTTGCACTGAACAATGATTGTAACTGAAGGTAGCTATAGAAGGGATAAGAAACGGAACTGTTCGCTGATGTGGGATGTCCCCTGGAATTTTTAAAAAAATAAATATTATCCTTTTATTTTTTTGTCATTTGTCTTTTTTTTCCCCTGGAAGTTGAGTACAAGACACCATTTTGGGACAAGGATTCTAGTTAATTTGAGGTTTAACCTTATTTTTAATTTATGGAAGTAATGCAACACAAAGTAAGAGTGCCTCGCTGCTGCCTTAGCAGTAATCACTCCTGCCATCTATCTGCTGCTTGATCCTTTTTTGTGGCCTCCGGTTTTTCTCCCTTGTTCTCATCTCAGGAGGTGGGAGAATGAAGACTCTTCTCGTTATTTACTCTGTTAGGGTTGTTTGGTGTTAATAATAGCTACCAGAGCGATCGCTTTGTGCCGGGCTCTGCACTAAGTAGCTGACACATTCTCATCTGTGCCTCACATCAGCGTGAGTTAAGTACTGTTCTAAAACCCACTTCACACGCAGAGATTTCATGTTTCTGAAGGTCCGTCAGGGGGAGGCAGAATGTAAACCCAGGCCTCCCTCCCACGCTGCAGCTCCTGAATATCCCCGAGATGATGCACTCTCCGCTCAGTGCCCCACTGCCATCATCCTGGCTCAGGCCACCATCTTCCGTCTGAGCGGCAGGTCTCCCGGCCTCTGCTCTGCTGGCCACGCTGCAGCCAGTGATCTTTTCCAAACAACACATGGGGCTGCGCCAGTCCCTTGCTTCTGCCCACCTCCAGTTTCATCTCTTGCCACATCGCACATCAGAATATTATCTCCTCTCCTTTTACATTGTGGAATCCTCAGCGCCTGGCACAACACGTGGAAGGTGCCCGAGGGCTGAGGCTGCACGAGGCTCCACAACCACCGTGGGCCATGGGGAGCAGCGTCCGCACCCGCTGGTGGGCAGCAGGAGTCGGCCGCCACCTGGCCCTGTGCCCGCCTTGCCGCTCGCTGCAGTCCTTTGTTTCCAGGAGGAAAGAAGACCAGCGGTAACACAGCCTTCCTCCCTGGGGTGTGGGTGTGTGTGACGGTCGAGGGCGGTCACGACGGGATTCAATCCCAGCTCTCTACCCCAGTCTTCCCGGGCTACTTTCCAGGACGGGGTGGGTCATGCTCCCGCCGGCCGGGAGGGGTCGCCCTGGGGCCGGAGCGGAGACGCGGGCCTGCAGGGCCGCTCCCGCCGGCTTGCGCAGGCGCGGAGCGCTCTTCCGGCGCCGGCTCGCCTCCGCCCGGCTGCCCGCCGGGGATGCTGCGGCCGTGCGGCGGGCTGAGGCAGCTCCTGTCGGGACGCGGGGCCGGAGCCTCTGCCCGGCTCCCCTTAGGCGCTGAAATGCCCAAGAAAGCTGGTGCGACGAACAAGGCCAGTGGCAAGCCCCGTGGCAGGGGGAGGGTGGGCGGCGCGCGGGAGAGAGGCGGGGAAGCGCAGCCGGCGGCTGGTGGCCCCCAAGACCCGGGGCTCCCGCGGCCTCCTGCCGCTCCTCCTCTGTCCGGACGGCAGGGTGTCCGTGGGGCCAGCGCCCCCCGCCCCCCGCGTCGGAGGCTCGGGGCGGCGCCCTCCCCGCCCCCGGGCCGCCGGTGCGCGCAGCGCGTCCTCGCCGCTCTGTGCGCATCCTCTGTGCTCCTGCCGCCGCGCTGCCCGCTGCCCGCTGCCCTGCGCGCGGAGTTCGGCAGCAGCTTCCGTCACAGGAGCAGGCCTTCGGTGCCGCCGCCGTCCCTTCCTCTCCCCCAAGTACGCACACTTCCAGCCTAGTTGCGCACAGACGTTTGTCAGCTCGTGCCGCCGGAGGTGCAAGGATGAGTAAGAAGCGGCCCCTTGCGGCTGCGCTAGGGCCCAGCGCTAAGGTGTGGGAGCCAGAGTTCCCGTCTTCCCGGCGCAGGAGAAGAACACTCGGGTGGGCTGATGGGAGGGCTTCGTGGAAGAATTGATTCGGAATACTTGGAAAACCTTTCCGGGTGGCCAGAAATGCCTGAGCGCGACGAGCTCGTCTTAGTTAAAGGTGAAAGGGAGTAGTGGAAGGCTCAAAGGTGTGGGGACGTATCTGATAGCCTGTAAAGTTGTCGTGTGGTTGTTGTCGTTTTAGGGTAAGAACCAGAGCAAGGAACCAGAGGGACCACTTCCTCCCTTAGGCCCCGTGGCCGTTGATCCTAAGGGTTGTGTCACCATAGCCATCCGTGCCAAACCCGGGTCCAAACGAAACGCTGTAACAGGTACATGTGGACACTGAGGTGGGAGTCATGGGGGGGGGGAGGCGGCCCCCCTCCATCCTCCCTTCGCTTTGGTTAGCTGAAAGTTGATCCTGTACAGTCGGTGTAGTTCTCGAATCTGCGATCAGAGGCTTTCCCGTTTACTAGGTTCTAATAATGTAAAGGTGTAAATCCAGTGTCGAAGTGACTATACGATATTTACAGCATGCCAAGTTCGATGACAAAGCCACTGTATATTTTCCCTCTTAAAAATACGGTATTTTATTTTTTTTAATTTTTTTTTTTTTATATTTTATTTGAGAGAGAGAGAGAAACAGCACGAGAGGGGAGAGGGTCAGAGGGAGAAGCAGGCTCCCCGCCGAGCAGGGAGCCCGATGTGGGACTCGGTCCCAGGACTCCGGGATCATGACCTGAGCCGAAGGCAGTCGCTTAACCAACTGAGCCACCCAGGCGCCCCCAAGATACGGTATTTTAGAAAGGACACATGTAGGTAGCCTAGAATTATTAGTTTGTCCTTATTTCAGAAGTGGAGACATTGGTCAGAGAAAGAAAGAAGAGACATTTTGGTTGAGTCTAATGACCAAGGAGGAAGAGAAGACCTGGTGTCTGAGAGCTCTGGTCTTCAGCTCCTGTGCAACCTTGTTTTAAGTTAAAACAATACAAAACTTTTCTGGGCCCAGTTCTTTTTCTCTGTGGGATGGGGTATTGGACTAAGAGGCTTTCAGGCGATTCCCTGGAGCCCAAAAGGTGCCTCATGGATCTCTTAGGTGGACACGGGGCGTGAGGGGGCAGCAGGCAGGGCTCCTGAGGAGCTGTGTTTTCATTTATTGTGAATGTTGGGAGTCCAGGGGAACTTGTATGGGGGCAGGTGGGCGGGGTATTCTTGGTGGGAAAAAAGTTTGAGAACCATTCATCTGAATTACTGTGAAGGTCTTTTTCACCTCCAAAGCTCTTTATTCCTTTTCTTTTTACACTTTGAAAACAAGACCTCAGAACTGGAGTGCTGGACGTGGTTTGTAGCTAGTGGCCTAGTTAGCTTGGCTGTGTGTGGGCCGCACCCACCGTGGCCAGCCTTTTCTGAGTAGTCGCTGTGGACAGTCCACTCTCGGCACACCACGTGTCATCAGATCTGAGATGGCCATCCACTAGAAGGTACACAGGTAATTCTGTGTACCAGCAAGACAGATCCATGTGAATACTTTCTTTGCCATCTATTGTGAGACGCATCTAGATTTGAAAGGTACTAAAATGCAGACAAGGGCACACCTTAGAATCCCAATCAGTGACAGGACAGGAGGTGGGTTGTTGCGCCACTTTGTGCTTGTGGATTCTGTGGCCACGTCGTTCGCACGGGCAAGGTGTAAGTGTGTGAAAAATGCCTGCATAACCCCAGGTGGGGACCAACTTAAGCTCACTTGCAAACTCCTTTGAGTAAATGCTTCTCACTCTGAATAACTGTGGAGGACTAGGGGCAGGTGCACTTTATAAAGGCTGTATTGACCCGGAAGGCAGGAGCACTCTTCAAAAGCAACGTTCTTTGTCCCAGGATGTCAAAGCATGCATTCAAATTAACTTTGACTTACAACATAGCTTTATAGCCATGTGCCTTTGGGCACATCTGGATTTGTTTCCTCATTTGTAAACTGGAGATCATAATGGCATTAATATCTTCTTCATAAAGCTGTAGTGAGGATTGAACAAGTTAATATTTGTGAAGTCCCTGAAACATGTTTGTGTGCCATCGAATTAGTATATACAAGTGCTGTGTAAATGTTTAAATGCTGCATTTTAAAAACCAAAAGAGGCATTTCACATGAGCTGAATCTCATTTTCCCAATGACGGAACCGTGAGCTGGCTCGTTCACACCCAGCTCCTGATCCTGCCTTGGGGCTCTTCGTACCACTCGGGCAGTTTCCAGTTGCTTGAGGCCCAGGACACTGCCCAGGACTCTGGGCCCATCTTGGTCCACAGGACAGGGGAAATGTCAGTTTTCTCTGGATTTCTTTCCTGAAACGGCAGAGGCGTATTTATCATGTTTATGTTCCCTCAAGTGTGAGTAGTTTACTCGCTCATTTCTTCATGCAGTAGTTATTGATGGAAAACCCACTCTGCCAGGGAAATGCAAACCCTTTTACAGAATATCCTCGCTCCTTAAGGATACAGTCCGTGCTGATTTCATTGCAGACGTGACAGTGGAAGCTGTGAGCGTGGCCATAGCAGCCGCCCCATCGGAAGGAGAGGCTAATGCCGAGCTCTGTCGGTACCTCTCCAAAGTCTTGGAGCTCAGGAAGAGCGACGTGGTTTTGGATAAGGTAGGTCTCTCTCCCTGGAAACAGCTTTGATGATTACACATCAGTCATTATTTTATAAATATGGGTTCTTTCTTTTCCAAGTAATTGAAAAGCTAGGTTTTTTTAAACTCTCATCCATTTAATCACTAAAATGTGTGAATTCTATGTAGTCTCCTTCATTCCTACTGCCTTGATCCTTACTCTGACCGCGCTCTGTACGTGTATTCCTTAGTTGCCACCATTTCGAGCATTTTCTCCTTTCTACATGTATTCCTGTACCTGCTGTCAGACTGATTTTATCTTTTTCTTTAAATCATCACCATACTAACAAATCTGAAAGGGGTCCCTTAGTGAGTCCATCAACGTGTTTCTGGTCCCCCACATTATCCTGACTCCCGGGAGAAGCTCATCAAGAAGAGAGAGTGCCATGAAGTCATTAATATCATGGGTTTGCTCTGGGGCTGGGTATCAAAATCACGTGGGAGTGATATCTAGAATACACATTTCTGGGCATCACTCAAGACTTTTTTTTTTAAGATTTTATTTATTTATTTGACAGAGAAAGACAGAGAGGGAACACAAGCAGGGGAAGTGGGAGAGGGAGAAGCAGGCCTCCCACCGAGCAGGGAGCCTGATGCGGGGCTCGATCCCAGGACCCTGGGATCATGACCTGAGCCGAAGGCAGACGCTTAACAACTGAGCCACCCAGGCGCCCCTCAAGACTTACTGAAATAGAATTTGCAGGAGTGAGACCCAACCATGCTTCTAGTGATATACTCTCTAGATCCAGGTTCTAGCTGGCATTCAGAGTCTTTGGTTAATAGGCTGCATCTAAAAATCTCTCCCATCAGACCACTTCCCTTGATTTATCTTCCACCTGTGGCAGGTCATTTCGGATTTGTCGGTGCGCACGCTCTGACATGGGCCTGAAAGGCACTTCCCACTCTTCTCCCCCGATAGATAATCCCGGCTCAGATTTTACCTTCTTTAAAGGATGTTTCAAAATGAAACCCTTGGCTCGGTTGTGAAATTAGAGGATTTGCTTTTTTTTTTTTTTTTTGAATTTTCAGAAATGTGTAACAGAACAGTTCTATATTTGGAATTATTTTTATACAAGGTTTATATAAAATTGCAGTATTTGGTAATTTAAAAAATAATTTTCACTTTTAATTTAAACAAAGAAGTTACTTAAAAACACAATATTCTACATCTGGACTCCATTCATTTTGAAATTTTAATGCCAGTTTTTATTATTACAGAAATTGATGTATGAAGGTAAAAACCCTGGAGAGTTGTAAACATTTGTAGTACGGTGGAATCTAGGATACAGTTGCCGGTTAGACCAGAAATCCAGAGATGAGCGAGAGAACGCGCTAGCTCGGCTGTCAGGAAAGCTGCAGCCCACCAGCGGCAGCACCGAGGACTCAGCTTTGATGGCTGCAGCTGAGCCCTGCTCTCTCTAATAGCACTAGAATGCTCAGTGAGCCATCCTCACACCATTTTTTCCTTTTGGTCCAGGGTGGTAAATCTCGTGAAAAAGTGGTGAAGCTATTAGTGTCCACAACTGGAGAAGAGATCTTGGAGAAATTAAAGCAGCAAGTCGAAAAAAAATAGAAGCAAGTTATGAGAAGTACATCCTTGAGAAGCTTTTTAATTGCTATTCATGAAGAGGCTGTTAAATAGGAAAATGTATTTCAGTGCACTGAAGAACATGAAAAAAAATTTAAGAACAGGACTCAAAAAAGAAGTAGGAATTTTAAAAGTACTGTATGTTCAACGTAGGTTCTGACATCCAAACAGTTTGGAAGACGTTAGTCCGATTTCATCGCATTACAAAATAACAGAGCTGGAAGAGATCTTCCGGACGACCTCAGTCAGCCCCTTTCATCCTGTGATGGGGCTTCTGCTATCCAGAAGTTGAGAGACTTGTTCAGGATCACACCATGCCGGATGGCAGCTAGAACCCAGGGCTCCTGGTTGGATGCAGTTTATCCTGATTGTAAATGAAGATGTTTCCACAGCACTCTAGGGTTCTGAGGATTGCCTTCTCTAGAGTTTACAAGTGACAGAAGAAAACCTGTCACACTGCTTTGTGGTCTTTATATTTTAAAAGGCTTATCTACAAAAATGCTTTTTGTGTCTTTTGAAAACTATGGAGCATTTTGTGAAAAAGTAAATAAGAGTAATCGGGACTTGTAATTTACTGTTAATTATTTTGGGGAAGTCACTGAATTTTTGTCCTCGTTGGATGGTGCAGTCTTCAAATCTGGTAGTTCCTATGAATCTCCAAAGATCCTTAAAATAAGGGGCTGGAAGCTACTTTCAGTATTTGTAAAAGCCTATCAGAAATCATATCTACATTAAAGCTTCAAAAGCTAATAATAAATACCTTGTTTTTAAATATCCAATGCAAGTTATAGTGATTTGGTCAGGTAAATAAGTTCATTACCTTTGCTGATCAGAATCAAAGCAGTTGTGTGCTTTTGTCTAAGTACCTGAGAAAATATATTGGTAGACAAAACGTTTAAAACTACAAAATCCCCAAGAAGGACCAATAATAAAAATTATTGATGATGAAAGAGCTGAGAAATAGTCATCTGGTACAGCGCTCATTCTGTGGCTAGGAACCAAGGACAAGAAGAGTCACTTGGATGACCCGGGACCACAGCTAATACATGCAGAACATGAGTTATGCTCAGCTGCCTTCTCGAAGCCATACTGCCTCCAAAGTGCTTCTGCTGTACCTGGTCTTGGCTTCAGAACTTTTCCTACTCTTTTCCCTGTCTTCCCATACATTTCAGTGTGCGCCCTAAAGGCATTTTACTTAGGGTTTTTTACATGGATCACTGTTAGGATGCTTTCCTTGACAGGTAACAGAAACCGAACTCTATCTGGCTTACACAAGAAAGGCATTTGTTAGCCCAGTACCTGGAAAGTCCAGGGCAGGGTTTACTTAGGGGTTAGTCTGATGCAGCAGCTCAGCGATGTCATAAAGGACCCACTTTCTTTCCTTCCCCTGCCTCACGCTAGCTAGCAGTGCCAGCTTCATCCTTAGGCCCACTTCCTTCATGGAGGCAAAAAGGCAACAGCTCTAGGCTTCATGTCCCCATACCACCCTCTCCAGCAGGAAAAGAGGCCACTCAGAAGAGCTCTGGTATTTTCCAAAAGTTCTCAGCTTCTCCCCACTCCTTTGTGTCTAGGGAATGGGGGGAGAGAACCAGAGGATGTAGATGGCACCTTTGTAATGTTTAAAGTTACAAACAACTAAAAATTCAGACTTCGGGAGGCAGGTTTTCTCTGGGCTATGGGCTGTCAGGAATCCCGCCCCCACCCCGGCCAGGGATTTGTAGTAAGGGATTTGGTTAAGTAGTTCCTTAACTGTAATGCAAAATACAAATTTAAAAACATACTGTGACCCCCACTATAGATTTTCTAAAATGCATGTGACTAGAGACTAAAAATTTTAAGCTAGATTTTCAATCTACATCCAAGAGGTGGCACCATAATTCAACAGAAAGCCACACAGAATTTGAAGGGACTGATAATTCCTTGAAGTGAGCAGTACTAGTAGGAAATGTCTTCTGTAGCGCCTACCAGTGTCACACACTGATCTTGTCTTGTCTTGGAGACATTTCATAGGCTTATCCCCTACATTCCCTGAGTTCAGTTCGGGCCAGAGTGTGGTGTTAACTTCCTTGGCTGGGTACTCAGAAGTCCCAGCTCAGTACTTCAGTGGAGTCAGCATGGCCCCGAGTATCTCCCTTCATTTTGCAGCTTTCAGAAATCCCAATTTAGTTGGGTGTTTTTGAAAATGGAGTTGGGCTGGGAAATTGGCAAGGAATTCATTTCTAAACACGATGCCAGTTTATTAATTTGAGTGAAGAACACACCTGCCAAATAGGTAGGATAGTGGGATCCTCTAGTGAGGGTCTGTTATTTTGGGAAATCTCTTCAAGAAGCCAGTCATCATTTGAAGACTGCTTGGAGAGCTTGGGATCAGAACCAAGGGAATTAGGGGATGGGCAGGGGAGCTCTGACCATCAGAGAGAGACCAATTATATCTTAGCCCCTCTCCTGGGACAACACTGCACACTGACACTCCTGGCACAGGAGCTCCCCTTTTCTAGACTCTGAGAAGACCACCTACTTCTGCCCAGATAGGCTTTCCTCTGACAATCCTTAAAATTCAGTTGATAAGGTTCTCAGCATTTTGTAATCCTTTTCTGGCTGTGTGCCACAGGGTCCATCTAGTCCCCTTGATACTAGAGTCTGGACAGGGGGGAACCCCCAAACTTAAGAGACTCAGTGGTCATTTCTACATGAAACTCCTCTATGAGATGGTTTTACTATCACATTGGCTTTCAAATTGTGTCAGAGCCTTATGTTTCCCTAGAGAGACCTTGGGGGTTGGAGAACTGGAGACTTAAGTAAGGGAGTGAGTCAAGTCAACAGAACTCCAAGCCTTTATTCCTGTTCCAAAACTATGCTGTCAGTATGGTAGCTGCTACGCGCATGTGGTTACTGAGCACTTGAAAGGTGGCTAATCAGATTTTTAAAAAAAAATAAAAGCATCATGGAAAAAAAGGCCATGTTGGAAACAACAGAGAAGAGGCAACAGAGAATAGGGCACAGAATTTGGAAGGCAGGATAGAGAAAGGTGAGCAAAGAAAGGAAAATGACATCTAGAATTTTGGCAAAGGGAAGTCAACACAGACATAATGGGGGTCCTGAAAACCCAAAAAGTGGAACAAAACAAAGATTTCAAGATATAATCAAGAAAATATTGAAAAAAATGATTTTAAGAAATAAAAGGTGCAGCAGGGGAAACACTGATGAAGAATGGTTGACAGGGAGATAAAACCTAGTAAAGTTCTCTGATTTCAAAAACAAAAATGCTGGTGGCCATCTAGCCAAAAAGTTGAAGTCCTGGGAAGGGAGGGGGAGACATATATGTACATTCATATGTTGCTAATGGGAATGTGAATTGCTACAGTGTTTTAGAAAATGTGGCACTTAATAAAAATACAGGTGTTTTAACCCTACTTTGGAGAATACCTCATAGAACACATAAAAATGCCAAAGAATATATGGGCAAAAAAGAGGAAACAATCTTAAGTGTCTACCTACAGGAGAATAATCATATAATCAACAGAAAATCCATACTATGGAGTATTAGACTGTTAATTTTTAATCTATAGTTACTGGAGTCATGTCTATTATGTTGCATGAACAAAGAGTAATACACGTGTGTGTATATATATACACAATCTCACTTTAGTAAGCGGAAAAATATATATGTATATCAAATTTACACATATTTGTGTGGGCATGGTAAAAGAGAACATGCACAACAGCCCATAATCGCTGGATGAGTGCAGCGATTTGTGATGGTTCACTTTTTTATAACGTTTATTATTTTGTATGCACACCAAACATATATAGTGAAGAAAATTTTAAAATGACAAAACACTCAAATGAAAAAGCTCTGGCCTTTAGCAATTAGGGAAGCTTTATTTATTTAATTCAGACAAAGGCTGGAGATCTGTTAGGGAGTTAAAGGCACTGGCAGTGGAAAAAAACCATGAGATCATCATCACATCCTCCCCTACAGCTGTCTCAGGAGAAGTCACTGAAACCCAGAGAAAACCTAACTGGTAATTAATACATGGGGCTCTGTGTGTCCCTTAGGGACAGGAATGAAAACACCAACTGAATTAGCCCATCAGCCCATGGAGACCTTGGTAAAGACTTGTGAGCTGCCTTCCTTGCACCCAGGTCAGCCTAGATGTACCCCACATCCCACTCTACTTCTGGACACTCACAGCTGATACGGACCTGCAACCTTTTGTGTCCCCAGCCCCATGATGCATACTTTCTGTAAATGCTTTCACTTAATCCTGCAAGGAGACAGTCAGAGTACATGTTAGCAGTTTTGATGGAAGGCCTGTCCTCTTAACTTGCTTCTCCCATACCGTCCTGAAATCTTAAAATCTGGGGGTTATTATCCACAGCTTATCTCCACTTTCCCAGTCTGAGGGCATTGGTAACCAGCTCCTCAGATAAGAGCGTTTCTTGGGCACCTAGCAGCCTCCGCAGTGGTACAGGAGCTGAAGCTACTTCAGCTCTGGCACGTCCTAATAGCGTGTAGCCCTACTGATGGGCCCCATGCAGCCAGCTTGTTCCAGGCCATTCTTTCCCAGAATGTCCATGGGTTAAGGGATCTCTGCCACTGTCCCTATTTTCCTCAAAAGCTGGTCCTAGTAGAGGTCTAGACTTCTGAAAAGGAGGAGATACTTGCTCAAGGCTACCTTGGAATCCAATGGTATAATCTATTTGAATCTAGTTATTGATTTGGCTGCATAATAATTTACCAGAAGCCAAGCAAAATCTTTGTTTAGATAATACAGAACATAGCACAAAGAATATATCTGAATTCTGAAGGAGAAATCTAAAAATTAACATAACTCCTACTGATGTCAAGAGTATTTACTCTTGTTGGCTTTAATTCATTCTAAATTAAAGGCCAGAGGATTATAAAAGCACACATTTCTAAATTTATAAATAAACACAGGAATGACACAGAGTGAACTATATAATTGGGTTTTTCACACAGAATTAGCTAAAGTCTATTTAGTACTTCAAAATCCTCATTTATATCTCAAATATGCTCCTGTGGTCAAAATACGAGATACTGAAAGACAAATCCCAAATAAACTTCTCAGTGGATGGTTTGTAATACCTCAATTTGTCTAACATTACCAAAGTAAGCACTTTCACAAGTCATCTTTCAAGCTAACTGAAGTTATTAAATGGTATTACAAGTTGCCATGAGTGGGGAGTATAGTTCCTACATTTTCTAATGAAAAAAAAAATTGCCTTTCACTATAAGCAATAGCACTAAATAAAAGAAGTCAAAGGCCAGGGGCATAGGTTTCCATACACAGCCAAATCTGTGTTTGGGTTGAATGAATCAAAGGGAGTAGGTCTAGGAAAAATTTTAAGGTGTTAAAATAACTGTCTTTAGAAACAAGGTGTGGTGCTTTTATTAGAGTTCAGAATTAGTGTTATCAGTAATCTTCAGAGCAAGAGATAATTTCCTTCCATTTTAGTATTCTAAACTTAAAACTGACATTTCATTACTCTTAATTCTATCATAAAATTCTAGATTTTCCTTTAGGCAAATAAATTACAAAGGGAAAAGTACATCCTGTCTGTTGAGCATTATAAGTAATGCAGCTCTGAAAACCAAAACCATGCTAGAAATCTCACCAGATGTCTTTTTCCTATCTGGTTTCAAGAGTTCAAACTATCCTCAGAGCTGTGACCCATGGTTATGACTCTGGATAACCTCAGATCCTTCTAGCACTCAAGAAAGGAAAAAAAAACCAAAACCCTCCTATCTCAAGTC